AAATAATTGTTAGGGAGGCATTTATGGCACATGATTATGATTTAAGTCCCACTAATTCATATTTCTGAATTATACTTTCTGCCAATTCCAGAGCATTGTATTCATGCAGCAGTGGTAGGAAGCACTGATTTTTTTTTTTTTAATGCCCATCCTCTTGATAAAGCAATGTAACATCAGGAACATTTAGTACAGTCATGTTCTATCATTTGAGTATGTGATACTCTAGTGTTAAGAAATCAAGTCTAAGTTTAGCATATTTAGACTAATTATTTGTGATGTACAAAATTTAGTTTTTAAATCCAGTAGTACCTGGCTTTCACCTATCATTGTGTTGAAATTGTCCATCATTTATGGCTTGTCCCAAGCACAAAATCCTGAGCAGCGAGGATACCAGGTAATGAAACAGCAGGGTAGTAGCACAGCTTGCTTTCACACACTGTTCAGGAGGCCACAAATTTATCTGAAGGTTCTCTTTTCTCTTCTGTAATATCATTATATATTTCATGAGCTATATCAGCTGTAGGTGTAGTCTGGGGAGTCACAGTATGTCCAAATCCTTGGTAGTGACCCGCGGGTGAAGGTGGCACAGAAGAGGCAACAGAAATTGCATCTTGTGATGAGGATGATAACAAGCTTGTATGTTCACTTTGATCTTGATCCTCGGGAAAAAATTTTTTTCTAGAATGTCCCCTGACTGTCCTTCCTTTAAAGTAATGTAAAGGTTTCCAAGTTAGCCAGAAGTTATTTTTACCACTCTCATCGTACCATAGTAAAAATAAGCTCCCCCACCCAATCTGAAGAGCTTACTGTGGTACTGCTTTAAACGAAGTCTTTTCATAGCTACAAATTGCCCTAATAAAACCACAGCAACCTACCTATTTGGATGAATTAAATGACTAGTACTTACCAACATGCCTTACTTGTTCAGAAATATCATCCCTAATGTCTGAAACATCCCACATAGCGAGAAAGGAATCAAAGCATGAGCCCTCTTCTGCTTCTTGGACATACGGTTTATATGAGAAAGTGTAGTGATGAGCAATAGCAGCAAGGAACATCTCAATACAGATAATAAAGTCCTACAACAACAAAAATACCAGCCATCTTTGAGTTTAAGTCTAGTTTTGTAGGTAAAAGAAAAGCACTATGTTTTCAAAAGTCCTTAAGTATCAATCGCTGGGCTTTTTTTCATAAGATTATATTCATCTTTCCATTTTCCAAAATAATTATTTTTTACCTCTCCAAAAAAAAAGACAAAGTTCCAAAAATTTAAATCCATTTTGCACTACCATCAAATATTTCCTAGCAAAGTACACTGCATTCTCACCCACGGCACACCGAGTAAGAGGAGAAATGCAGAAAGATAAACCGACTAGGGCTATCAAATTCTAGGTTGGAGTCTTGGCTCTATTACAGATTAGTAATTATGGCCAATTTCTCTAGCTTCCCCCATTTTACCTGTAAAGTGAGGATAACAGTAGCCCCACAGCCTGCACGTTGTCAGGTTTAGGAGATAATATGTAATAAGGCTTAACAAACACTAAACTTCTATTGAATTCAGACACAGCACTACTTACCTGGAGTCCTGTAGCCACGGCTTCTACAGTTTGCCATTCCCATGTATGCTTTTCAGAAATAACGCCAACTTTTACCAACAAAGCAATAACTACTGCTTGCCTATATGTTAGGAAAAGGTAAACGCCAAATCTATATCAAGCATAAAATGAGCAGTTGTTTTAAAAATACGCCATTTAAAAAAGTTAAACCCCAGCACAACCTGTGGACCACCACCACGACCACCCGCTGCCTCCATAGCATATTCCTGAACAGTGCATCTATATTAAACATAGGTATTTGCTTTACACATTCACTCTTCTGGTAGTTTCATCGCGTGACTTTTGATTATATATTGCTAGAACTTCAGTACTTGGTTCATAGGTCTTTTGGTTTTGAAAGTGTGCACAAGGAATTAGCTTAAGTTCTTCCTATACATGGACAATGCCTAACACCTTGTACAACAGACATTTAAAATGAAATAAAGGGCAGATGCTTAAATGTTATTTACATATATATTAACTCATTATTCAGATTATCTTCAAAAAAATTGTTTGAAACCAGTCTTGTTTGAGGTATTGAAACTAAAGAAAAACTTAGAAGGGGCCTGACTCCAAGGCAGGGAGTCAGACTGAGCATCGAGGGAATGGCCTTCGGGTAAATTCAATCAGCCAATAATGAGGCAGACAAGCTTTCACAGTTCTAGAGATAAGAATATTCACTTCAACACTGCTTGTAAAGGTGAGGAAATAAGGAACCACCTAAATGTCAATAGGAGATTGATTAAAAAGTTACATCCACACAACAGAATACTAAGCAAAACCAAAATAAACAAGCAAACAAAACTATACAACAAAATTATAGCCTCACTTTACTAACAACTATATCCACAATATACTGGACATATCATTGAGTTCTATAAGTTTTTACAGTATGAAACTATTTCTGTGGAGTTTCATATATGACATGTGTACCACAATGTTAGTTATTCTTTCTGGGTGGTGGAATTTCAAGCATTTTTTATTTTCCTCCTTTTTATATTGTTAAATATGGTGTATTTGTTTCTAGGCCATGTCACCTACCCCTTTACTAAACTAAGACCATGTATAGTTTTGCCTTTTGTTTTAAAAAGTATTTTTACTGATGAACATTTCCTCACATCAGTAAGTATTCTATATAATGTTTATCTTCCATTCTCTAATGAGTATTAGAGTATTCTCTAATATGAAGCACCATGATTTATTTTAATAATTCCTTATTTTAGTGATTCCTCCAGTGTTGAAACATGCAGTTTGTCTCAAATTATTTTCTTCTTATAAATGTTACAGTGGCCATCTGATTATTTCTTTATGAAAAACCAAGATGGGCTAAAAAGATGAATTTTTTAAACGGTAAGTAGAGACTTTATCTTCTGTACTGATTGTTTTAAAAACCCTCCATAGTCAACAGTTTTATTGCCCTTTAGAAAATGACAACATTTAAGAGAAAGCAACACTTACCAAAAAGAAACAAAAACCACCAGCTTTACACAAAGAAATTTGCCAACAGGTTGGATTGGACTCAGTTCTTCCTTTAGTACTTTATAAAACAGCAGGAGACAATACATGGCAAACTAGAAGCAAGATTAACAAACTTCAGTAAGAATAACTAATATGGTGGGGAAAATAAAAGTTATAAATTGGAGACCTGGTGCAGAGTAATGTTTCAAGCAAATTTTTCTAGAAGG